TGTTGGCCTTTTCCTGTCTTTTCAACATTGCAGGAAATGTTTTGCCTGGATGATGAGACTAAGTGAAAAATCAAAGAAAGATGCAGCACACTGTTTTTAAATAACTTTATAATTTCCTGATGGATTTAGTTTGTGAATAAAAAAGAAAAAACGAACAAAGTGTTTACAATAATTATCAAGGCAAAGTTGAACAGAACACAATTTCATTGTAATGTTGTTATCTGGTAGGCAACACGACTCCAGCAATCACACACATGTACAGTTGAAGGCAGCAGGTGTGTTTGGATCACAGATACCACCATTTAGGCTGCTGCTGCTGTTACCAAAAGGGACTCAAGCTATAAGGAGCCAGTACCCAGTGTTCCCCAACTCCCCACTAAAGTGCAACACGTCTCTTCTGAAGCAGGGGAGTGAATCCCAAGTCCCCATCCTGGACATCTTGATGTACATGGCAGGTTCCTGGTCCTGCAGTGAGGCAGACCAGCCCAGAAGGTTGGTATGTGCCCCAGGTAGGTCTAGCTGCTTTAGAGGATGGATGCAATACTGTTGTGGCATGGAAAGAAGGGCTGGGCCGGAGTGCTCTGGTCCAGGAGTGGATTATCTCACTCTAACATGGTTCACTTCCTTTCCTGACCATGGCATCTCTGGGGCCAAGAGAGAGTGCCTAGACCCAGGCAACTTGAGGTCTAAAAAGCTTCAGGGGAAGGAAGTCTAGGGTCTGAAGTCAGAAGGAACTGAGTTCTAGTACAATCCATTGCACCTGGATCGCAGGCTCCAGGCGGGCCAGTGTCGGCCCTGTTGGATGGTCACTGGATGATATAGCACCAAGTGGGCAGGAAAGAGGTCCTGTGACCTGCCAGGCAGGGGCTTCAGAGTCAAGCCCAGGTTACCACACAGTATAGGCACACTGGGTTGGGACCAACATGGGGGTTAGGGTGCTTCTGGGTCATCAACTTTAAAACCTCTACTCAGAGGTCCTGAGGATATATAGGAAAATCCTGGCACAATTGAGTCTCTGAACCCCCAGATTCTCATTCCTTTGACTAAGCAGTTGTCAGCTGCATCCAGGCAGTCACCTACCTGGAGTATGGTCATTGTGTTTCCCAAGGGGCTGGCCAGGCTGCCACCTTGGCCAAAGGGAGGACGGGGAGGAGTTTGGCTGCCCCATAGCTTGAATTCCTTTATTAAAATGATATTGGTTTGCATTTTAAAAACACAGCTCTTTTAATTTTTCAGTTCTACAACTACTTTTTAATATTTTAATATTTTCAACAATGGACACAAAGTAATTGCCCCGATTCTCTGGATCACACAGACAATATCAACAAGCAGAGAAACGAAAGAGGAGGTGGGATGGGTCAGAAGTCCACTCCCTCAAATCAATTCTTAAAACCACTTCTCTTCCGAAAGGGGCAGGAGGAGAAATACCTACAACAGGGTCACAGCACGCGCCAAACACATTGGAAAAAATCAGGAGACACTTGGTTACAGTTTTGACACTAAAAAGTTTGGAAACAGTTTTTGCTTAAAAAGAGTAGGTGAAGACAGCCATTTTGTTCAGAAGGATTCCCCTATAATGCATGTTTTCTTCTTATCTTAGTTCACATGGGGGAAAATTGCAGATTCTTTAAAAAACATTTCTTTGAATGTTTCCAGTCACTTCCTGAGAAGCCCAGGGATTGGCAGTGGTGGAGGGTTGGCCTGTGGGCTCTGCAGAGGGTGGCTCGCTGCCACGCAGTCCATTCTCTTCTTGCCCTTTCTCCTCAGGTCTGATCTCTGCAGTAGGGAGATGAGGCTGGGGAGGCAGATGTGAAAGTCATTGACACTGCTGACTCAGGGTCCACTGGGACTTAGGAAAGGCCACATGAGCGTCACATTCTATTGGTGAAGTATTTCTTGCTTTGCTCTTTCCTCAAAGACCCCATGGGTAATCAATGGGCTGATGCGTAAGTAATGCAGTCAAACAGGTGGGCACAAAATGTGTCTGGGGCCAGCAGGATTCCCTAATAGCAAGTCCAAATGTCAATCTGGACCCTCATGAGGGATGGGATGTTAGGACATCAGTGGACTAAGCTCTGTGGTGACTTCCCCTCCCTCTTTTGATTCTGGGGAGTGGGTGAGCCAATGAGCTCCTCATGGAATACCAAATAGATTTCAATTGACAAAAAGTTGCAAGTCACATTGTCACTAGCAACACTGAATGTGGTCTTAGGTCCAGTCTGCTTTCCTAGTATTTCTAAAGCCCACATTTAAGGAAGAGAGACTCACTTAGATATTCTTTGACAGTAAGATACAAACAAGAACAAAAGTTAGAGCTGAGGTGGATCTGGGGATTCCCTTCATATTTCTTAGTATGTTAAAGCTCACTTGAAGTCTTTTCCCTTTCAAATGGTATACATGTCTTCGTAAATCTCAATTCAGATACTTTTCCAATGACTCAATGAATACCTCGGATAGAGGTATATGAAAAAATGAGAAACTCACATGGTATTTCTTCTGTCATGAGTCCCAGGTTGGTTTCCATACCCTCTTTTTCTAGTCCTCCTCATGACTGACCTTGATTTGGGGTGCAGATGTGAAGTGCTAAAGGGCAACAGACTTGCCAATGGGATGGATACATGTGAGGAAGGTGTAGGCAACCTGCAGTGAGTCCTTAAGGCAATAAACCTTCTGGATCAGTGAGTGGCCTTGTGAAACTATGAATGACAGAGGGTCATGGACCAAGTCCCAGTGTGATGGGAGTTGTGCATTTAGTAGGTGTTAGCTCTATGAATTATCTAAACTCAGTAAGATGCTCTCAATGATAGAAACCAAATTAACTTTGCCCCTACAATATAAAGGCAGGGCATATTCACTGTTAACTTTAGCTAAACTGTCCCCACAATCATTTGAGATGCCAGATCATCACCCAAGAAGGATCAAGGAGTTTACCACTGTGGTGCATAGATACCAGACAGCTGATGTCTGTCCCAGAAATTTTTCTTCCCAGAAGCACCTGACACAAAGGGCTTCCTAAGTCTTTCTGGAGGGAAGTGATGGGAAAGACTGAAATGAAAGAGGAAGGAGGACAGTGATAAATACAGTACATGGGCAAGGTGCCAAGCATGGCCTCTGATGAGAAGGGCCAAAGGGGTGGGTCTAGGGAAGCCTCTTGATGCTATACCTTGCTAGCCAGAGAAGCTGGCCAGTGCCTGTGCCAGGCTGCTTTTGTGGACATGGGCTCTTCTATTTGCTCTGCTCTGCTGTAGCCCTGTGAAGCTGTTTTTATACCTCAGTTCTTTACATTACAGAGGGTAAAGAGATTCTAATACTCCAGTTCTGAAATACTGAGGGCTTTCTCTATGATTTATGAGCAGTGCAGTAAATAAAGAGAACTGAGGTAACTGACCACCAATGACCACCACTTACCATCTAACCCCTGTAGCCCCTGTGCCCAGCTCAGCCATCAGGAAGTATCTCAGTGAAAGGTTTATGAGTAGAGTACATTTAAACCTCTGATAAGGAACACTCCACAGCTTCTCAAGTAGGAAGGGACTGTGTTATGGCAGGGAAGGAGGAAACCTAGAGACGTGACTATGTAAAGACCCCATTGGGTAATCAATGGGCCGATGCTTAAGTAATGCAGTGGACTTCACAGGCAGCATTAAACTCTTAGTGAGTAACTAGGGAAGGACAGAGGAGAAAATGCAAGACAAAAACATTTATTCCAGCAACTCTTATGAGAAGATTTGTGTGTTTGGGGGTTCCTGGTGGTAGAGGTGGTCAAAGGGCCAGATTTGGGTTAAGCCCTCTATTTCTCAGTGACATATATATTTTACACAACTACCATTGTCTAAGCCTTGGGCAAAATGTCCTCTGAAATGCCAATTCTTCAACTGGATTTGCTACTGTAGGGTTGACTTTCTGATTTCATCAAGGAGCTGGTCCACGAGGTGAATGCAATGTGTTAAGAAATCACTGTCCACAAGCAGACACTCTTTAAGGGTAACAATAGCAAAAATTCTGAACCACCACAAATGGGATCCTGCAGGCAAATAAAGGACCGTCACCCCAAACCACCAATTCTATGATACTGAGAAATGCTGATTTGTGACAGACTTTTCTAGAAGATACTTTCTAGATGGGGAGTGGACTGGAGATACAGCTTGGAGGTATAGTACTTGCCCAGCATGTGTGCTGCCCTGAGTTCAATCCCTAGCACAGCAAGGGGGGGGGGGAAGCTGAGGGAGGGGACAGGTAAGCTTTTTATTGCTTTGACTCAATCAGATGTCTCAAAGAATCCACTCTCTCTCTTCCTCACTGAAAAGACATTTTCAACAATGAGTGTCTAACATGTTGACTTGCATGCAGTTGCCATTTCATAAATATTCTCAGAAATAATTGAGGGAATGTATGTGGGATAAGTCAAATTCACTTTTGTCAAAAGAAGATTCTATGTATTGCATGGGGCTGTGATTCTGAAAGGGAAGTCAAGAATAAAGTAAAAGGGTGAGGGACGGATCATACATGTCAGCAGAGCAGAAGCTGGGGACATGGGTGTGGAGGCAGAAAGCATGCTGGGAGATGTTCCGGAGAAACCAGCCTAACTGACCCGAAGAAGATCACTTTCTAGAGCAGCAAGGCTGAAGGTGGTGATGTCAGGGCTCCATGTGTCATACCCCTCTTCTCTTTGAAACAGAGGTATTTGACCTAGTGATGAAGTAACATAAGAAGAAGGGTCTTAAAAAACAAGGGAGAGCAGGGGAAGAACTGTTCATATCCTCCTCTTGTGAACTGAGGAACAGCAAAGAAGAGTGAGACAGACAGGACCGGGATGAAGATTTAAAACTTGGGGTTGAATGCCTGCTAAGCCTGCAAGAAGCCTGACTGCCCCCCCCCTGTGTAAAACACTACACAGGAGAAGAAAACAGGACCGTAAAGAGAAGAGTTGGGTTTCCATTGTCTCTGATCTCCTTCCCTCCTCTCATTTTTAGATTTTTTTTTTTTTTTACCCTTTTAGAAGAAAGCACCCATTGTGATATTCCAACACTCAACTCTCTGGCCCACGGTGAGGATTCTCTCAGCATGCTGAACTCTGAGGAGATTTCAGATTTGGTTCTCACATCAGAGGACGGAAGGTGAGTGGACTCTACTTCATGGCCCTCTAAGAACAGAGCCACCAGCTTCCCCAGCTCCCCAGTGCTGATGATTGGAGGCTAGTTCTTCATAGAGATGTGGTCATTTACCACCTTGGACGTCAAGGACATTAGTGTAGAGACAACATTTAAAGCAGAAAGGCGGAGCAAGATGACAGACGTACAAACAGGCTGGAATCGCACTTCTTCAAGTGAGCAAGACATCATGTGGTTTGTAGTGTATGGTGCTAAGAAGTTCCTGGATGCCTATTCCTCATAGTTTTCCTTTCTTGACTCCTCTCTGGGGCTGCTGGGCTGGTCACTCCCCATGAAGCAGGGTCAGGACGACTCTTCCAGTGCATTGACCACTTGCTCCAGGATGTCGGGGCAGTGGTCTGCTATCTGCTGAAGAATGGCATTGGCAAACTCCTGCAGTTCTGCATTGTCCCGTTCGCCTTTTTCCAACTCATCCTGAAGCTGAAAGGGAAAGGAGAAGTGGATTTCAGGTAAAATTAAAAACTATTTACATTGAGTTAAGAATTATTGCTTATTAATAAATGACAAAAGAGGTGCTTTCTATGTGAAGTCTCCCTTCATCAAAATTGAAAAGTATAAAAGCAAACATCAAGGGGCTGGGGATGTGGCTCAAGCGGTAGCGCGCTCGCCTGGCATGCGAGCAGCCCGGGTTCGATCCTCAGCACCACATACAAACAAAGATGTTGTGTCCGCCGATAACTAAAAAATAAATAAATATTAAAAATTTTCTCTCTCTCTTTAAAAAAAAAATGTAAACATCAAATATTTCTTCATGAAAATGAAGACGTTAATGACTAGTTCCAAGCCCAAAGCTGGTGACCTGCAGAGTTGGGATTCAACCTTCCTCTCATTCTAGGTGGTGTCTTGTTCTCCACTGTGCTGCAATCTCACATTCAGTAGTGGGAGGGGGCTCTTATGTCCTCAAATAGAATCTTAACCTTAGAGGGCTCTTCCCCCTTGGAGGACGAGTCCCCTCGACCGGGGGTGCTTTTGGGGCTTCCTCCGCCACCCCGGTTGGAGGGCTCTCCCCCCTTGGGGAAGAGTCCCCTTGACCCAGGTTGCGGTGGGAACTCCCCCCTACACCCCGGTTTGAGGGCTATCGCAGTGCTCCTTGTTCTAGGGACACATATAATTAAAAGGACTTTTGCGTCTGCTCTACTGCTTTTATTTAGTACACTAGACTCTTTGGCCTGCTCATTTACCTAAGGAGATTATTTTGAGAGATATAAGATAGTCCACATGTTTAGAAGTAAGCATATTTCTAATTTTCTATTTGCTTTCAACACCCTCTTTGACATTCCTTTAAGCATGTTAGCCGAGTGCCTACTATGTGTTAGGTAGTGAAAGATGAATGAATTTGGTCCTTGTCCTGAACCCATTTAGGTTAACAGAGGAGTCAAGCATATTAACAGACAAATTACAACCCAGCACAGTAAGGGCCAGGATGAAGCATGTGCTGAGAGGGGAATGTAATGACTATTTCCTCTTGGAGGAGACCGAGAAGGTGTTACTAAAAGGTGCCTGGCATGTGGGTCTTGAGAACCAAAGAGGAGTCTGTCTGAAAGATCAAAGGCAGAAAAGGCCTTGGAGCAGATGAGACAAATGCAGATGTGTGGAGTGAGGAAGGGCTTGGCACAGACTAGGGAAATGTGAAACACACAGCATGGCTGGAGGCCAAGGTGAGGGGACTGGGAAGAGTGACAGGAATGCAGCTGAAAAGATAGGTGAGGGCCAGGCTGTGTACGTGAAGCTAGGGAGTTCAGATGCAATCTGGTTAAAACCCAAACCCAAACCAAAGCTCCAAGAAAGAGGAAGTCCAAGTTTAAAACTGTACAGTGATATGAGCACCTTCATCTTCTTAGAAAGATGCATTAGGAGATAAGAAGGACATGCTGGATTGAGTGGAGGGAAGACTACTTCAAGAGGCTACTACTGTAGCAAGCCCAGTAGAGCTGAGGCGGCTGAAAACTAAGGGAGGCTCAAGGGCCTTGGGGAGGAACACACACATCAGCTTTTTCAAAGGTGAGTTCAGTGAGTGAGAATAGAAAACCATTTTTAACAATTCCAGCTGGGGATGACAATTTGAGGAAGTGCAGGTTTTAGTAAAGAAAAGAGGGAAATAACAAACTGAGTATAAAGTGTAGTTAAGAACGCTGGCTCTGGGGTTAGGAGGCCTGGGTTTCAATGACTGCTCTGCCCATTATTAATTTATATGACCTTGACCCCTCCTTATCTGTAAAATGGGGCCATAACATTGTTTCAGAGTTGTTTCAAGTATTTAATGAAACAGTCATATAAAGTGCAGTGTAATGCCTGGCACATTAAAAATGCTTGATGAATGTTAGATGTTAAAATTATTATTGCTGTTGTTATCAAATAGATAAGATCACCCTGAAAGAGCAGGGAAATTAAAAAGCAAAGAGAACCAAATTCTAATTCCACTGCTGTTATAATCTAGATGCTCTGAATCAAGAATTATCAAACATAAAAAGTCGAGGAATATACCTAGTACCCTTCCTTCTGCTAAATGTTGACTAAGAGACCAGAGCATTTGAGGGTGAGAATTAAGACTACAGTAGGTTCAATATAAATACCCTTCAACATAAATACCTGTTATGTAGTTTTAAAGTTATAATTCTAATATTCTAAGACAAACTGAAGTATGTAAAATATTCACTCAAAAAGTATTACCTGAGTGGCCAATAAAAAGAAATGAAGTCCTTATGTATGATACATTATTTAAACTACGTTATATTAGTGTATCTTATAAGTGAAAGAAGCCAATCATAAAATACCACAAATTTACGCCCCTTTGGGTACTGGGGGTTGAACTCAGGGGCACTTTACCCTTGAGCTACTTTCTCATCCCTTTCTATTTTTTAAATTTTGTGACAGGGTCTCGCTAAGTTGCTTAGGGTCTAAGTTGCTGAGCCAACATATACTCATGATCCTCCTATCTCAGTGTCCCAAATTGCTAGGATTACAGATGCACGCTACCATGTTTGACTGACCTCATTTTTTTTCATGGCCAGATAGGCAAAAAAAGTAAAGCAGACAGAAAGTAGACAGGTGGCTGCTTCATTCAGGATGGAATAGCTGGGAGTGACGGCTGATGGGTATGGGTTTCCTTTTGGGCAGTAAGATGTTTGAAAGCTGATGATGGTGAGGATTACACAACTCTGAGAACATAATGAATCTACTGACTTATATATCTGAAATGGGAAAATTGTATGGTATGTGAATTATATCTCAATAAAACTAAAAAAATTGTGCAGTAAATACCTACAATGAAGAAGAAATTAAAATACTACTGTCTTTAGTTAAGCAGAAAGGGGAGAGGGAGGAGGAAATTTCTCAAAGAATGTGGAGGTTGGCAGTAATGAACAGAAAAAGGGTAATTTAAAGTGGAAAAACAGTATGAGCTATGGCAGCAGGTAGAAAAATGCAGTTGGCTGTTGCTGGCAGTGCAGGAATATAGAAATTTTTGGATCTTGACAGAATAACCCCAGCTTTTCGAGAATGACAAAATGCCCCTGGGCTGGTCAGCCTTGGGCATTACCCCTCGGAGAATGCCCTTCTATTACACAGATTCAGTGAAGCCACACCTAGAGACCTGTATTCCATTTCAGACACCTCATTACCTTCTGGAGGCAAACTGGAAAGAGTTCAAAGAAAAATGGCAGGCATGACTAAGAAGCTGAGAGGATAATTTTATGAGGCAGGATTAGAAGAACTAAATATATAGACCCAAAATGAGTAAAAAATAAGGGGAGGGAATGTGATTATTACCTATGAATGTCAGGAGGGTGTAAACAATAAGTGGGGAGAGTGACTAGCACCACAGGAGGAAGTATAACTAGAAGTGATGGAATGAGATTAGGGGGAAAAAAAAAAAAAAAAAAAAAAAAAACCAACTAGAAGTAGACTATAAGGCTTTGCTTTTCCCAAAGTCTAATGAATGACTTACTTGGGAAAAGGTATTTAAAAATAGAGGGGATCAGAAGGATCAAAAGGTTTAGAGAAGGAAGTATTCCTTCAGTAGCTGGAGCTGCTTTCCATTTGGTAGGCCTTTCTCTGTTCTCTAGGGATTCTGCATTTTTTCTAATTTTACCAGTTTTAAATGTGGGCATGGCTGAGCCGGGAGAAGTTTCTTGACACCTGATCCATTAGATGCTAAAATTTCTTGACTTGAAATAAAACTCAGCGATCACCCTCTCCTGTAAAAGTAGAATTGCTTCCTCCCTCCCTTCCTTTCAAGTGCTCTACTACTGAGCCACAGCAGCCCAGCCTTGAGATTACTTTTAAAATGAGGATGTTTATTTCACCAACTTCGAAATGCAAAGCTTTGGTTATTCTCAAGTCAAAGGAGTACAGAAATGTGTGTTTAGATCACCTAGGAAAGTAGCCACGTGAAGTGACCAAACTAAAAATGTAGACAGATGTGTTATACTGCACAGGTGTGAAAACAATTCCTGAGATGGATTAGTACCTTGTTACTTTAAAATATTTTGTTAACGTGTATGTCACACGTAAAAAGGAAGTTTTTTTTTTTTTTTTTTTTTTTTAAGGTTTTGGAATGCAGTAGATTCTATGGATACATTGGGAAAGGTGTATTCTAGCTTCTGAGATTTAACACACCAGATCTCACTCAGGATGTTTTTGCTGCATTCTTTCTTTTTTGGTGCCAGGATGGAACCCAGGGCCTTGCACATGTTAAGTGGGTGCACTACCATAGACTGCACCCCCAACTCCTCTTGCTGCTATCTACCCCTTGCCTGCTGCCTATGTCCCCTCTGCCTGACTATCTTCTTCCCCTTCCCTCCCCTTGTAAGAAAGGTCCCATTCAGGGTTAAGGCCAAAAGAGAACTTTCCAAATGGCAAACATGTAACATTTAAAATTTAATGAAAATGTTTCTTACATCTCAGTTTCAATGAATTAATTCCTTTTTCCCTTTTCCTTTCCTTGTTAAGGTTACAAATCCAATCACAGTGGAAGTAAGACTGAGCAATCTAGCAAGAGTTTCCATTTCCTATAGCATTAGTTTGGATCTGGAATGACTCTCATCCCCGCAAAGTCCCTAGCCTGTGGTGCCACTGGTTGGTAGCACCTTTAAGAGGTGAGGCCTAATGGGAGGAAGTTAGTCATGGGGGGCATGTAAGCTACAAGGTGAGAATGTTCCTTTACCATGCACTCCTGCCATGATGTGCTACCTTGTCACAGGGCCCCCAAAGAAATAGGGCCAATCAATCCTGGACTGAAATATCCAAACTGTAAGCTAAAACCAAATCTTTTTCTCTTTATGAGTTGATTATCTCAGGTATTTATTATAGCAATGGAAAGCTAACATACCTGTTCTAAACTTTCTAACAGTGGCAGGTTAATTCCACCACCGAAACTACTACAGTGAAAAAATGATACCTTCTTGTTTATTTTCTGCAAA